TTTCCCCGAAAAATATCCCCACAAAATTCCCCCGAAAAATTTCCCCGAAAAATATCCCTACAAAATTTCCCCGAAAAATATCCCCAAAAAATATCCCCTAAATATTTTTTGGGGATATTTTTCGGGGAAATTTTGTGGGGATATTTTTCGGGGAAATTTTTTAAGGATATTTTTCGGGGATATTTTTTGGGGATATTTTTGGGGATATTTTTGGGGAAATTTTTTGGGGAAATTTTTTGGGGGAAATTTTTTGGGGATATTTTTTGGGGATATTTTTCGGGGATATTTTTTGGGGATTTTTTGGGGAAATTTTTTCGGGGATATTTTTTGGGGATATTTTTCGGGGATATTTTTCGGGGATATTTTTTTGGGGATATTTTTTTAGGGATATTTTTTTAGGGATATTTTTTTGGGGAAATTTTTCAGGGGATCTTTTTGGGAAAATTTTTCGGGGATATTTTTTGGGGATATTTTTCGGGGAAATTTTTTCGGGGAAACTTTTTGGGGATATTTTTTTGGGGAAATTTTTTGGGGATATTTTTGGGGAAATTTTTTCGGGGATATTTTTTGGGGATAATTTTCGGGGATATTTTTCGGGGATATTTTTTTGGGGAAATTTTTTGGGGAAATTTTTTGGGGAATTTTTTTGGGAATATTTTTTGGGGATATTTTTTGGGGATATAAGCATTGGTACGGAACCCATAGAAATGTTAACAAATTGTATACTTATTGTTAAAATCTCTATAAAATATCTGATAATTTTGATGAGCATATGTCTAATGATCATTTTTGACCGCCAAATGGCTCATTTTTTTACTTTTTCCTCCATATCTCCGAACTGCTAGACCTACCTTCATGAAAATTTTATCGATTTTTCATCTTGTCAATACAAGTGAAATGTTTTTTGAATTATTCAAATCGGACGCTCCGTTCTCTCAAAAAACTGAGTTACCGTTTTCGGCACTTTTTGCCCCGTATCTTCGAACGGCTAGACCTGCCTTCGCCAAAAACTAATCAGCACGTCTCCTTATCAATACGAATCGAATGTTTTTTGAATTATTCAAATCGGTTGACCCGTGTTCCCAAAATCGTCGACGAAAATTTGTATCCGCACATACATACACACACATACATACATACACACACACACACACATACACACACACACACACACACACACACACATACATCCATTTTTTCTAAGGTATGCCAAAATGTTCAGAAACCTCTGAAACGTAAAGATATATAAAAAATTTTATTTTCGATTTTTTTGCGATTACTATAACTTACCCTACGGAAAGTTAAAAAATTTTGGAAAAAAAAATTTTTTTCAAAAAAATTTTGGTCCAAAAAATTTTGAAAAAAATTTTGGTCAAAAAAAATTTTGATCAAAAACATTTTGGTCAAAAAAATTTTGGGAAAAAAGTTTTTGGTCAAAAAAATTTTGGTCCAAAAAAATTTTTGGAAAAAAATTTTGGGAGAAAAAATTTTTGGGAAAAAATGTTTTTTGGAAAAAAAATTTGGTGACCGAAGTTCTAATACCCGCATAGGCACATGCATTTCTTATATTTGAATGTGCTATTGAAAAATGCATATGAATGAATTATGGGCGCGACATCTATCGCATATGTAGTAAACTTTGTAGCTATCTAGCTTTGTAAACCGTTTAAATTTTGGTCAAAAAATTTTTTTTCTCAAAAAAATTTTGGTCTAAAAAATTTTGGAAAAAAATTTTTTTTCTCAAAAAAATTTTGGTCAAAAAAATTTTGGTTTTTTATACGATAATTATACGATATGTAATCTCTACATATCATAAGTTTTTTACGTTGTTTATTTCCACCACACACAGAATACACTGAACTCCTACAGACCCCATACCCCCTACACGCATAATATTATTTATTATTATTATCTTATACGTATGATTTTACTTAAACAACTTTAAAAATTGTACCGAGAATAGAACCCGGTCCCTCTGCGTGGCGGGCAGCGGCTTTAACCACTGGACCATCGTGGTGCTCAGAAAAGACCGGTCGTCTTTTTTCGTGTGTCGTCGCGTCACCTCACCTTAATAAACAGAGCGTTTCTTAATATATAATTAATTCGACCACGGATTTTCAAACTAAAATTAAAATTTACGAATCGATAAAAACTCGAATTCTAACCATGTTAATTGGAAGATAAAATTGGGTCAGTATGGGAATACTATTCTTCTAAATAGTTAAGTTTATTTTGATATCATACAGCATAGATTTATTTTTATAATATATATTTATATATTTATAGATACATATACTAATATTTCACAATGGTACGACTTTTATAAACTTTAAGTGGAATTTTAACATCTATTTCATTGTTTTCAATGTGGAATTTGTTAGGTTTAATGATTAATTTAACTATTTAGTCGGCCTTTCCAAAATTTTCTGCCACTCTAGCAAATTTTTACGTAAATTTCTTATTGTTAGTGCCAATTAGTTTGTTATAATACATTATGCTGAATCAAATCGAATCCAATATTTGCTTTAATAAACAAAGTTATAATTTTAATAATAAATCAAAGAATATTATAAATGAAAATCTTTCCAAAAGTTGTATCTATTAAAATCAATTTATAGTATAGACATAATTCTAGTACTGGAACTAAAGCAACTACTCGATTGCCAGAAGAAAATTTGTGCGTGCCAATAATGATTGAAAATAATGATTATTACTAATTTAGGAATTTTCATCGGATGTGAGTCCATTTACATTTTTCTATAAATGGAAAATACATTCTCAATACTATTATATTGTTCTTAAGTCCTCCAAAACTGAAGACATTATTTTGTTTATGATTCTGCTCTCAAGAAACTATTATTTATGTACTATTTATACTATTGCACGACAAGTGTTTACTTCACAAATTTTCTGTACATTATATAAACTTAAAATAGTTGTATTACTCAGTATGTCAATTAACTTCTAAATCGACTTTTATATAAAACGAGGCCACAAAATTCACTAAGGCCAAGTAAAATACAGGCCCAAAAAGTATATATAGTTCAAAATCATTTTATATCCATAAATTTGTCTTACATTTCTTATATTTACACTACATATATGATTAATAAATTATTAAATAGCTATATGTTTTTAAAACTCAGAGATATTATGATGGTACATGAGTGAATAATTTTAATTTAATTACATATCGTGAAAGGTTGTATTGAAACATATTTACATATTTTATTTATTTCAAAAAGAAAATATTCTTATAGAGTTCTAAATTGCGTATTTTTTCAGCTTTTTATTACGGTAATAAGTAAATCAGAAAAGTCTTTTAATCATTCTAACAAGTATAATATCAGATATACACTTTTAAACATTATATTCTACACAGCTATACATTAATGTATTTATGCATCAACCAAAAATTAAAACTATACGCACTTTACATACTTAAGAAAAGTATATTGAATTAAAAGAAAGTTTTCTTACCAAAAGGTAATGATACAATGATTTCTCAAAATTATATACAATACAATTATTATTTTCAGTATCGTGTCAATTCTTATTATCACTGAATCAGTCAATATAATTTGTAGTATATATATATACTACAAAGTTGCTCTTTTATATTGGTTTATAAGTTTGATACTATGATGTTCAGATTTGGCAAAGAAATTATAGTAATATAATTCTGTCGTATTCTCAATGTAAGAATTGGCTAAAATAACTACTAAAATAAGCAGCTTTTATAGTTTGTTCAAATAAAACAATTATAATAGCAATTGAATAAAATACAATGGTTTCAGGAGAATTCGAATTGAATATGCCAAATAATATAGATTGTATCTGAATTCCATATCACTTACCATTTTGATTCGATGCTATATGGAGTCTTAATTAAATACTAGTAAATTCAAATAAAATTATATATGTATATATGTAGTAATCTGATAATTCAATAACTTTTTTTAGTTTTCCTGGGTGCACGTGAACTAAAACTCAAATACCCACGAAATTTGCATCACCATTTATTAAAAAAAGATCACATAGTATCAGATTTCACAAATTTGATTTATTTAATTTTATTCACATCATAATTGCTCAATTTTAGAAAAAATGTTATTATGTTTATTATCTGTTTTAAATTATTTATCAATTAGTATTAAATGGTATCTACAACATTTAAGATGAGACATTGATCAATCGATACAAATTCCTCGTTGCACACATTAATATATTCTCCTTCTATCACAATTATATCTTAATACCTGATTCTTAGAATGTTTTAAAACAATGTTTCAACACCAGGCCTGTCCATTCTGTTAGGATTCGCAATGCTATTCGCATTGTCGTCGGGTAGTCCCGCCTGCATGCCAGCTAATGACCGCACCTGGAGCAGTAGTCCGCCTCCGAGCAGCCGCGCTTGGTGTTCTTGCGCTTTGGCTCGTAGGCAGGCTATCGAGTTATTCCTGTAGAAAAAATGCCTGTGCGATTTTATAACGGCAAGTTCGAAGGATGTAGTGTGTGCATGCGTACAACAATATTTTACATCTCTATTGCATTTGTAGTAGTACATAATATATCAATTTTATGTCAGTATGTTGAATGTATTAGTAATGCAATTATTGCTATATGTATAATATTTAGTGCATTTAAATTAGTAGCAAATCTTTGGCATTTATTGAGTCTATATCAGTTGTCTTCTTATTGACAATCACTGTAATTTTATTTTTCTTAAATTGAAATAGCTATTTTTAACTTTCCGTAGGGTAAGTTATTGTAATGGGCCGAAAATCGGAATTGAAAATTTTTACATTTCTCGACGTTTTGAAGGTTTCTGAACATTTTGGCATACCTCAAAAAAAATGGATGTGTGTGTGTGTATGTATGGATGGATACAAATTTCCAGTCACGTTTTCGGGCGCACGGATCAACCGATTTGAATGGTTCAAAAAACATTCGATTCCTATTGATAGGGAGAAGAGCTGATTAGTTTTTGGCAAAGGCAGGTCCACAGTTACGGAGATGAAGAGCAAAGAGTGCAGAAAATAGAAATCGACTTTTTGAGAGAACGGAGTATCCGATTTGAATGATCTAAAAAACATTCAATTAGTAATGATTGGGAGAAGTGTTTATTAGTTTTTGGCAAAGGCAGGCCCAGCCATTTTGAAGATACGGAGCTAAATATGTAAAAAATGGCAGTTTTTGAGAGAACTAAGCGTCCGATTTGAATGATTCAAAGAACTTTATGCTTGTCTTAACAAAATAATTGATTTTGGAAAAAAAAATTTTGTTTCAATTTTTTTTTTTTTTTTTAAATTTGTATATCGAAAATAATTCAGATTTCATTTTTAATTCTGACTATTGTTCTAATATACTTTAAACAAATAATTTCAACTTTGCATTTCAGTTTATATAATTCTTATAAATATTAGACAATGTTACAATATTTATAATAATCTATTTGAAAACATTCAGTATTTTTCGAACATTTCGTTACGGTACGGGAAGTTCCAGCAATTTGCCTTAAGGCACGATGCCACCCACCCCACTTGTTATATATTATTTTAACTTCCCGTAGGGTAGTTATAGTAATGGGCCGAAAATCGAAAATTAAAATAATTTTTTTGCATTTCTCGACGATTTGAAGGTTTCTGAACATTTTGGCATATCTCAGAAAAATTGGATGTGTGTTAATAAGTACGTTCGACTTGGTAACTATTATCTAAAGCAAAGTTGATCCAAGACTGAATTCTATATAGTAGGTATGACTAAAGCTATAAGTCGTACGACTAATGTTAGAGTAAGAGTAAGAGCCTTAATCGTATCGTAGCACATTTTAACTAGTGGTGTATGACATCATGTCTTAAGGCAAATTGCTGGAACTTTCCGTGCCGTAATGAAATATTCGAGAAATTTTAAACGTTTTCAAATATATTATTACAAATACTGTAACTTTCATTATTTTTGCTATCTTGTTATATCTCTGCAAATGGAATGTATACATAAATCAATTCATCTCCAGAACATTAACAATCGTCATTTCATTTCGAAAACAATTTCAAAAAAATAATTGCCTAATTTACACAAAATTGAAAAGTGCTCCCTATAGTCACAGTCTAAACGCATTTGCAAATAATTCTGTGCGACATTTTCACTTATTCTGTGCTTAGCATGGCGGCATTTTCACATTTTTCAATAGTTTTCACCGAATTGGAAAAGTGCTCCAGTACATAAACAGTCTAAACGCACTTGGGTATACATTTGTACCAGAGCGGCGCTTAGACTGTGCTTAGCTTGGTTAATTTTTTGAATTTTGTATCCAAAACTACAAAAATATTTTATGGAAAATAAAAAAAGATGTAGTAATTTTTTTATACTCAAAAGCAATAGTTTTGTCAATACAAGCAGAAAGGTTTTTAGATCATTCAAATCGGACGCTTAGTTCACTCAAAACCTGCCAATTTTTGCAATTTAGCTCTGTATCTTCGAAATGGCGGGATCTGCCTTTGTCAAAAACTAATCACCTTTTTTCCCAATCATTACAAATTGAATGTTTTTTAGATCATTCAAATCCGATACTTCGTTCTCTCAAAAACTCGATTTGTATTTTCTGCACTCTTTACTCCGCATCTCCGTAACGGCTGGACCTGCCTTTGCCAAAAACAAATCAGCACATCTCCCTATCAATAGGAATCGAATGTTTTTTAAACCATTCAAATCGGTTGATCCGTGTGCTCGAAAACGTGAACGAAAAAATGCGGACCCACAAAACACACACACACATATACACACACATCCATTTTTTCTGAGGTATGCCAAAATGTTCAAAAACATGAAGATATGCAAAAATTTTCATTACTATAACTACCCCACGGTAAGTTAAAAAATAATCTCAAAAGGTAACAAATTGACTTATAAAATTATCAATGATCAGGAAGCAAACAACTGACAATAGAACTGTTCAAATGTTCATGAAGCTTAAACTTACTATTTTTCAATTTGAGGAATAACTTCGGAAAATTGTATTTAACTATTATTTCTTTGTATTTAACAAAAATATAATTTTACTTATTTGTTTGATGAATGAAGCTAAAGAAAGCCAGTGATCTCATTCGAAATGTGTGAAATCGGGTGTAATATTTCAATTACAATTTTTGTTAACTAACCTGAACGCTTCTGGATCATCCGGTGACACACCTCCAAAACCGTGTTGGTCTTCTGATACGACCAAATTATTGTTCCTTTGTGATTCATATTGTTAGGAGACATATTTATGTGCCCTGGACTCGTTCTCGGTGATGCATCGTTTGGGTACCATCTCTCCGTGTTCGGATTGCACTGGTATTTTTAAAATGGTCATCTGTTTGGTTTTGTGGATGTGTTTGCTGTTGTCGAACGGAGCCTCCGCTGGTATCACTTGCATCGTCCGTCCTCACAGATGCACTATCTTCACGATCACTTCCAGCACCTCCACTTCCACCGCCCCCTGGGGCTCCAGATCCAGGATCATCTTTTAGATGTTCTGCTGCTTCGATTGATTTTCGGTGCATACCTGGGAGATAAGTAAATGATTATTTTAGAATGGAATCTGGACTATGTAAGGTATTTGATAAGCCCAGAAAGACAAAAAATCAGTTGTTGTAAAAATGGTATAAACTTTGTAGTCATTCTTTTTTTTCAGAATTTCAAACAATTCAAAATTTTAGATAAAAAATATTCACTAACGTTTATAAATTCTTTATTGCACGCATAGAAATAACTTTGATTATGAAATTAACAAATTTTGTATCGTGCTCAGAAAATGTATTTTTAGATGCACCATATGTTTTAACACCATTTATTCATTTCTTATTGTATTGTATTCTAACATTATTATGCTTTTTATCAAAATTGATTAATACTGACCTAATAACCATGGAGCTACAGATTCGTTTTCCTTTGCACTCTTTAATATCGTTTCTGGTAAAGGTAATGAATGCCTGACCATGGCTCCATATAATCCATACTCTGCCATAATAGTACTCCGGCCCCAACATTTTTCTGTTTTGCGCCATTTTGCACGACGATTTTGGAACCACACCTGCATAGTGAAAACTCAATTAAGATTTGAATGCAATAAGCGGGATGAAAAGAAACAACCAGGGGGCAAGAAGATCTACTATTTTATGTTTAATTTTAAAGACGTTTCACAAAATGAATTATTTCGTGAAGCTAAATTGTTTGATCAATACAATACATTTTAATTATGAAGGTGAACAACAAATTCAGGAATCATAACCATAAACGTGATGAAAAAAATTCTTTCCGAACACTAATAGTTAATGATGTCATACATCCAGCTTTAGTAGTTATTTCTACTTAAGTTATTACATACAGTCTCATTGTTTGTTGAAATACAATTCTCGTATAGAATTTTGTCAGAAGAATTCATCATGAGAGTTCGAATAACTATTAATTTAATTTATTTCTTGTAATATTGCTTTTTTAAACTTATTTTACTTTTCCATTTGTTATTTTATTATTGTTTACATCTAGCCATTGCAGAGATTTATGTGGTCTCTTTTACCCATACCATATGTTAAGCTATTCTAGAGGTCATATGAAACACTGTTGAATCTAACTTAAAATTAACAATACAATGAAGATTTTGCCTTTTAAATAACTATTTAGGTATCGTAAACTAGACAATAGTGCTTGAAATAAAAAGAAACTAAAAACAGAAAAAAATACTTTGATCAAAATTTTGACATTGTGGCTATCCATCTCCTGATAGCAACATCATAAGAATGTATGTAATGGCTGGTTATACATCTTTTGTCTTCTACTTTAAAATAGTATCGGTAAAAAATGTTATACTTGTTTTACGCACGGAACTTTAAGCTCCGCTCTACCCTATCACAAAATATTGTAGTAGATCCTAGAAGTAAAATTTGCAAACTTGTACACATTTTAGAAAATCTGATCCAAATTGCTATTAATTTATTATTATTATCATATTAAAATTGATCAAGATTCAATATTATAAAATTCTATTATTTTTGCCTGTGTCAAATATAGGACTTTATCGCTTTTATAAGTGGCTTAACATAGGTCTTATTCGGAACATAAAGCGCGTTAGTATTTCAATTAGACAAGCACATAATTCTCCAACACTTTTATCAAGTTGATAACTCAGGGTGCAGATGTAGTGTTGTCAATAGAACACAAAAAGCAGAACCCTCAAAATATTGTTTCAGTTTCACAATTTTGAATAAGAATGAAAATTTCTGTGGAAACATATCTATATTTTCCGTGCCAGAGGGAAAATAGATCCATTGTCGTATTTTTAATATTAGAAGTAATATTAATTGTGTAATAAGGGAATTTACGGAAGCAATCGCTACAATGTAAAATAAATAAAATTAAACTAGTGTATAGCATAGCGCTTTGGCAAATTGCTGTAACCTTCCGTTCCGTAAAGAATTGTTCGAAGAATATTAAATGTTTTCAAATGGATTATTATAAATACTATAATATTGTCTAAAAATATTTTGTATAATATTTATTTATAAGAATTATATGAACTGGATTACAAATTTAATTTTTTTTATTTAAAGTTTATAAGTGAGCTTGCGAACTCTAGCCAGAATTAAAATTAAAATCTGAATTATTTTCGATATACAAAAAAAAAATGGAACAATTTTCTTTCTAATTTCAAATATTGTTGTTAAAAAAATGTTTAACTTACATGTTTTTGGAATATCGATGCTGGAACTTTTTACCCGCGGACCTTTACCCTCCGCTCTACAGTACGTAATTTATATTCATTACTGTTAATATCGAATTTACTAAATTATTATTATGAACACACCCAAGTTGATGTGGTATTAAATGAAAATGTGCAGTGTGAATTGTACCCCTTGTCCTTTATGAGCTTCCACCCTTTATTTCTACACATATGTGCGAATAATCGACCAGTATTGCGGAGTTTATGTTTGTTGAATAAATTTCTACAAAAGCACTGAGTTTTGTAAAAAACAGTTTGATAAACAATAAAATTAGGCATTACAAAACAATTTTATAAAAATCGAAAGATAATTCGAAAATTATAATTTGATTGCATACAAAACTAATGGGCATTATACAGCACTATTTTTGATATGCTTATAAGTACAATTTATATTAATCAATTCAAAAAGTAGAATATGCATACGAAGCTCGATCTTCTTTTTTTTGTTAAATCTTTTAATCCATTTTCCTCCACATATGTGTGCTATGTAAAATAGGTAATTTTCAAAATGCGTTCGACGTTTGTCTGAGGCTTGGTAAATTTCGTTCTGTTAATAGGCGTTAATAAATCATTCGAATTTCAATTAACTGCCGGCGAGCCCTGGAATTCGTCGAAGTATGCGTGGACGGATTCCTCAACGCTTTGGGGATGATTCTAGAGGATTAGTCAATTATAATAAAGTCACCCTGATGCCACCTGAATTCCACCGATGAGGGAAGATCATGAGGCGTGAGGCAGAATACTGAACCAATGCAAAAATTGTGTCAGAGGAGAAAGAGGTCGATTATCGATAATTTTTGAGTGCCAGACATAGGGGTTCGCGTCATTCGATTTGCAACAGATTTTTATTTTAAATTTTTCAAAATTTTATATTGATTTTAAATTGGTATTAAAAACTGGTATTTTCTACTAAAAAACTATTTTCGAATATCTATAATTTCATCGTGAAACCCAAACCAGAATTTAAAAACTGATAAAACCATAGTACGCGTTCATAAAATCATAAATTTGCCATATTTGATAAATATGCATTGTGTAATAATGACATTCATTAACTTCCCGTAGAATAAGTTATAGTAATCGCAGAAAATCGAAAATAAATTTTCTGCATATCTTTAAGTTTCAAAGGTTTCTGAACATTTTGGCATACCTTAGAAAAAAATGGATGTATATGTATGCGTGTGTGTGCATGTGTATATTTGTATGTGTGCGTATTAGGGTTTGCCGGTTCTCAAAAACCGGTTTTAGAAACCGGTTTTTTGGTGAAAATTACGAAATTCAAAAACCTTTAGTGAAAAAAGTCGGTTTTCACTGTATAAATGGAAAATGACAAATAAAGCCAAATATAAAAGATAGATGAAAGCGTTTTGATTCTTGAAATGATATCGGCTCAATAGCATTTGACATCTTATCAGTGTGCAATGGTTCTTCCCAGAAAGGTTTTGTATATATTATTTTAGATTTTTATACCAGTGTATATATTAATTTAAATCAATGTGACTTCTTCTTGAAGAAGTAACTTCCTCTACTCAAACTTAAAAAAAAAATAGTTGTAAGTCCTAGAAGCCACAAATAAAAGAACAAAAAACTTAGAATTATTAAATTAAAATTAAGCATAAATCATAATTTCAGTATGAGAGTATTTTCTGTTTCAGGAAATTTTGTGAGTAAACAAAGGACACGTCTAAGTAGCAATTCGATAGACGTTTTAAGTTTTTTGAAATCACATTTTATTAAATAAAAAAAACAATTAGAATGTTTAAAATTAATTAATTAAAATTGCTCGGAACAAACAATACCCGAGTTTAGCTTAATTGTTTTTAAAACTAAAATTGATATTAACAAGTATGTATCAACATGTATCTAATATTTTCTTTTATAATTTAATGAATGTTTTTTATTTTAAAATGTATTATTTTTATTTATTCGAAAACTATCTTTTCACTATCATAAAAATATTTTCATTCTTATATGTGAAAATTATACATGAATAACTAATAATTATTTTCAAAGTTATTATTCAAGATAAACTATTATTTTTTAGCTCTACTAATTAAAATTTAAAAAAAAATGGTTTACTATCCATAAAATTGAACAATAAATAAATTTAGTCAAATACTGTTATAAATCACACTAAATTTGCGGATAAATTTCAAAATATTCGAGCTAAAATTTATTTTTTATATAAAATTTTAAAAACGGCTACAACCGGTTTTATAGTAAAATAAAAATTCGAAAACCGGTTTCCTGAAATGTCGGTTTTTGTATAAACCCTAGTGCGTATGTGCGGATACCGATCAACCGATTGGAATAATTAAAAAAATATTCGATTCTTATTTAAAAGGTCGAGCCGATTCGAAGATATGTGGCAAAAAGTGCCAAAAATGTTAATTGATTTTTTGAGAGCATCTGCTTTGTATGATTTAAAAAACATTTTATTTGTGTTGATGAAATGAAGAACTGATGAAATTTTTGGTAAGGCAGGTCTAGCGGTTTCGGTCATTAGACATATATACGTCAAATTATAACATATTTTATGGATATTTTAATAATAAGAACAAATTTAGTACACTTTTCTATGGGTTTCATTCCGTTATACAGCGACGCGTCGCCCACGCGCTTTGATACTTCGTTTCTAGGCAGCTAACGTATCACGATTGCTTTGAAAAAAAGTTCAAAAATTCCAAAGTATAAAAGTATAATCAAATTTTTTAAATACGTAAATTTTTTTCAAAATTTTTTAAAAATCTCAAAGATCGATTTTTGGCAAAATTGAATCTTTTTTAAAAAAATTAATTTTTGGTACGGGAAGTTCGTAAGTTTTGGTACCAATTTGCCTTGGCACGATGCCATGCACCACTAGTTTATATCAATACTACAAAAATCTGTATAAAAATGTCATTTCGCGTGAAATCTTTCATACATCAAATGCCATTTCCCTAACGAACTAATCGCTCGCAACCAATCCAATATAGAATATCTGGCGAACGCGAATACTTGCGCGACGCCGTTCGATATAATCCAATTCCTTTTCCAATAACAACATATAAAAGCTCAACAGGAAATAGTCGAGCAGGGATGATGAAAACTACATATTTTTTCGGAAACATATTAGATATTCATATATATACTGTTCACGTTGCCCTGAACCCTCGTCTGCAATTCAAAAGTTCCAAATTTTTTAATATGCTGTACTAATATTTACCGTTTAGTTGAAAATAATAATTACTGTTCTCAATATTACTACTACAAATGTATATACATCGAAATAAGACATGCTAAATGTATAACTGCTTCAAATAATATGATGAGTCTCA